TAGTATAGAATGAACCAATGAGATCAAAAAAGGATGGAGCCAATTTAGATGTCTGCTAAAACTTTATTTCCTTCACACCATCTTTCTGTCAGCATGTGACAGGGAGACTATTGAAGCTAGCTTGGATTCATAGTAATCTATCTTTCCTGATACTGGATTTGAAGAAGCAAATGGTAGAAATCAAGAGCTCTTCAACTGAAGAACTGATCTTGAATGTTGGGGGTCAGAGGTTATGCTCTCGGGCTCCTGTAGTGTCCTCCGCATGATAATATGTCAAGAAGTAATTTGACACTTGAACAGCTCTTGTTGGTCTCTTGATCTGTGTTTAGCTTTGCTCTCTCCAGAATGGCTATGCTGTCAATAAAAGATAGCTAACCATTTTTTTTACCACTTGACATTCCCACTGCATACAGTATATATGCTGAATGGAGCTTTTCTCTGGGAGAAATTTATTGCAACTAGGTCATTGGTCAATGGCAAAACAACAGCTCTCCTGAAGGAATCATGGCAGAAGTGACCTTTCGATGACTGGGGTTTATTTCAATAGAGTGGTTGTTGGTTGTATACCTGCCTGGTAGGGGGGAAAAAGTGCATGAAACAAAGATCCCTTTATTGGTTGGAACAATCCAGCTCTGAAAAACAAATATTAAGAGGTCAAGCCGTTACCCTGAAAGATAGCTTAGTATGCAAGAAGCTGAGATGTCTGGATAAAATAAAATTAGGACAAATTCAAATTGGAAACATGGAATGCAAGAGAGGGTGCTTAAAATAATTTAATAGTCTTTTTCAAAAATCCATGGACAGTGAAAGTGTTTGGGAGGGGTCCAACTCATAAGTGAGCTACAGGACATGAAAAGGCAAACATTATTTTATGGCACAGTCCTGTGGATCTTTATTCAGAAGTTAGTCCAGCTATGTTCAGTATGATTTAATTCTCAATAAGTGAAGGTAAGGTTGCAAGCTCATTTTCTAAATGTAATTAAAGGAAATTGTTTAGTTGTAGGAATGATAACCTCTTCTTCACAGCCAAGAAGACAACAATAAAAATAATGTGTCCAATAATTTGTAAACAAGTGCGCTGACTACCCTGAGCAATATGTCAGAATAATGTATTCTTTGGATAGTTAAAGTTCGTAAGTTCAGATTTTTCATTATGCTATGTTAAATAAACAATATTGTGGTTAGAATTTTAAATTAAATCCAGGTGGAAACTACTAACTTACTGTACCCATATTCAATTACAATATTTCTACGTGATATACTTTCAGAATTCTTAAATATAGTATTCTCATTTCCTTAATGAAGAAATATGGAATAAATAGGTAAAGAAATGATTTCATGGAATTGCTTATACCTCAATCATTTTATATTATTGTGGGTTTGCAGCTCGCTTGGAAGGGTTCAGGTGTGTGCATAGGTTCTCCCCAGAAAACAATCCTCTGTTTATGGAGATCAGCTCTTCAGGAATGATAATATCAGCAGGATTTGGATAAGGCGAGGTTGCTTCTCAAATGTTAAACTCTATGCATGAATATAACATGTGAACAGGGCTATATGGATGGTATTCGCTGTAAATATGAATTTCAAAAAACCATAGGAACCAAGGAATCTGTCCACAGAGAATTAAGATTGAGTTGGATTGAAATACTCATTGTTATCTTGATAGATTGTAGAAATAGGTTGCAAGTAACAGAATGAAAGTTAACAGAAATCAGTGCATAGTTTGCCATTTAGGAAACAAAATGAAAATTCACAGGTATAGTTGTGTCATGGAGACTATCTGATTTAATGACGGTGCATAAGAAGATAATCTTGGAGTGGTAGTTGATTGCAAAGTAAATATGAGCCTGTAGTGCGTTGTGAGAGCAAGGAAGACAAATGCACATTTAGGCTGAATCAACAAGATTTATCATTTCCAGTTCAGAGAAAGTAATTGCTCAGCTATATTCTGATTTTGTTGGACCTCAGTTTGAATCTAGTTCTGGGCATCACGCTGTACGTAGGATTCAAAGAAATTAAGCAGATGCAGAAAAAGACAATAAAGATGATCAGAGAACTAGAATGCCCTATGAAGAAGTTGCTGAATGTTTTGGGCCTTGAGAAAAAACTGTGGGGTGAATGAGATAATGATAGCACACTTTAAATACATGGCAAGATATCACATTGAACAAGGTGAGGACCTATTGTCTGTTATTTCAGAATTAATTCAGAAGAACGCAGATTCTAACTGAACGTTAGTACGAACATCCTAACAATATAGAACCTGTTACTCAGGAAGGTGTTCTTCTTCTTGTTGTTGTGCCATATCCATTATTGAATGTTGGCGATCATGTTGGCGATCCTGTTTTTATCAGCAGCCACACGAAGTTTTGTTCAAATCAGTCCCTTAGATTTTGAAGCCACGATGTTCTTCTGCCTGGACCTCATTTGCCTTCAGTCTTTCCCTGGAGGATTAAATGGAGTATGCCGTATTTTTCTGAGTGTCGCATCACATGTCCGAAATATTCTAATTTTCATTTTTTAATTGTTTTGATGATTTCCCTTGGCTTTCCCAGGCAGCTTGTCACCTCCTCATTTCTGATCTTGTCAACGCAGCTTATACGTAACAGCCTCTGTAAATCCTCATTTCAAATGCTTCTAGTCTCTTCAGGTGGCCTTCTGTCAGAGACCAACTCTCTACTCCATAGAGCAGGATAGAAGAAATATAGCATCTGACAAGCCTGATTTTCAGTCTTAGGCTTATGTCGTGACTGCAGAAGACCTTTTTCATTTTGAAGAATGCTGTTCGGGCTTTTTCTGTGCTTGTCTTTACTTCAACGATCATGTCCCAGCTTTCATGTAAATTGGAACCGAGGTGTGTGATCCTTTCAACTTTTTCTAGTGGTATTCCTTCTGAATTTATTGGTAAATAAATTCAGGAAGGTGTTAGACTCCATAATTGGATGTGTTCAAGCAACTGCTTGAACAGCCAGTCATATATGAGATGCTCTACATTATTTTCATTCAAATTTTATCTGTAAAAGAGCCTTATTTCTGAATCATACTACCTATAGTACATTTTAAGCTTCTTCTCCAAGAAAATCTGTTTAACTTTGGAGAACAGTTATTTGTTATTTCCTTCAGTGGAGTACTGTAGTGCCTGGAAAAAGAAAGCCAACAAATCTCTATTAGGGCAACTTTTAAATAATAAACTTTTAATTTTTTACCTTAATAAATAATAAGGTGGAATACTTATTTTATACATCAGAAGTGGTAACTAGTTCAGTTCTATTTTTTTCAAATATTTTATAAGCCTATTTGTATTTGCTATAAAATAATCAAAAATATTACCTGCAAATGTCATTTATAGCAGGGTAGTACTTTAGCACCTGGCAGGTGGTACGCGACCCCTAGCCAAGTGTAGCGGGGGAGGGAACAAGCTAAAGCAGCGCCTTGCAGGCTTGGAGACCAGCTGGAGCTGCAGGGCTCCGCAGAAGCCCCAGCACCTGGGCCCGTGGCTGCATGCTAGTTGGACCTTCCAGTGCACTGGGAAGAGAAGAGGGGGAGGGCAGAGAGAGGAGAAGCTATAAAAGCAGGTTTTGGCAGGAGAGGGAGAAAAAACAAAACACACGGAAAGAGAGAGAGAAGAGAAGAGGCTTTTGTTAGCGAAGTGGTGAGAGAGCGACCAAGGGGCTTTTGCGCGCAAAGTGTGAGTGAAAGAGAGAGAGCGTGGGGCTTTTTCAAGCAAAGAGTGAATGAGAGCAAGAGAGCTTTTACAAGCAAAGTGTGTGTGTCAGAGAGAGAGAGAGAAAGAGAGAGAAGCTTTTGTGAGCAGTGAGTGAATGACAGCGAGAAGCTTTTGCGAGCAAAGTGTGAGAGAAGCTTTTGCGAGCAGAGTGAATGAGAGAACGAGAGCTTTTGCGAGCAAAGTATGTGAGTGAGCGAGAGAGAAGCTTTTGTGAGCAAATAGAGCAAGAGAAGCTTTTGCGAGCAAAGTGAGTGAGCACGAGAGAGAAGCTTACGAGCAAAGTGAGTGAATGAGAGCGAGAAGTTTTTGTGAGCAAAGTGTGAGTGAGAGTGAGAAGCTTTTGTGAGCAAAGTGTGAGGGGGGTTGCAAGCGAATGGTGGGAGAAAAAGGGAAAAGTGAGGGGGAGAAGGGAAAAAGAAAAGAAAAGGCACTGACTTCCACTGTTGCAATAGGAAGGAAGCATTAACATTGAACCTCAACTTTTTATTTTTCCATAATATTATAAACCAACCATTTCTATAACAACAAATGAATCTAACCAGTAAAGCCCAAAATCCCCCCCTTTTTTTTTTAGTTATCAAATTTTTGTCACCTTGCTAAGCACTGGTGGTACTAGAATATTGTCATGTCCTAAAAGTGGTACAATCTGTGAAAAGGGTTGAAAAGCCCTGATTTATAGTATACTTTAAATACTTCTGCTTTTGTTAACATACCCTACTAACCTTTGGCTAATGTTCTGGGTTCACTTACCCAGACTGATTGGGCTAGGAATCTATACTAAGACAAAAATGTGATTATGTGTATCCAGATCATAACTTGTAAGTATATGAGTATTTTGGGGCATTCATAAATCAAGCATAGATTTAACAGATCACTGCAATTTTCATCAGCTCAAGGGTAGCTTTGAACTTTGTCCAGCAAGTTGGGTGGCTAGAGTTACTTCATTTAATCCAATCTTCTTGTATTAATGTATCTTATTCAGTCCCAAAGGTGCTTTTCCAAAGGCAACTGGACTTTGTTTTTCCTTGAAGAAGTTTCACTTCTCATCCAAGAAGTTTCTTCAGTTGGATAAGAAGCAAAATGTCTTCAAGGAAAAACAAAGTCCAGTTGCCTTTTGAAAAAGCACCTTTGGGACAACCATGACCTGGATGACTGAGAATCTCCATAGACATGTACTTTATTCAGATAGATTACAGTTAAATTATGTACACAGCTACCAATCATTTTTAAAATAATTAATTATTAAAGTAAAAACTCTTACTCTCCTTTGCAGGTTAGAAATCTTTGTTATATGGTAACAAAACGAGAGAAAATGAAGCACTCCATTTGCAAACTCCAGGAACAGATTTTCCATCTCCAGATGAAACTTATTGAGAAAGATCTTTATGCAGGTAACTTTTCCTATTGAGACCTAGAAAATCTGTATTATAAATTCCGTTATGGAATTTTATTTTCTTTATTTACTATATTTTTAAAGAGATTAGACAAAGTACTTTTAGAAAACTGAAAGAAGTAGTTGTTATCTGACATCCGAAAGTTTTGATGTATTTATTTTGCTTTGGGCAATGTGTGTAATTAGAGCAGTGGCTTCTGTTTTCCAAGAGTGGAAAACTTTCCCACGATACTTAACTCCTACCTGCAAAAAATGGATTCTAAAAATATTTGGACAAGGAGTCTGGAGACTAGAACTCTAAAGAAAATTAAGTCGGTACAAAAAGAATATAATATCAGCACCACTTGTATCTCTTTCAGCAGAACATCTTAGAATTGGAGAATATCGGAGTGAAGGTCCTCTCTTCATTACCCACTTACATTTCAGAATCTGTGCTTATAATAAAACATTAATAGAGGTTTATCACATTTATACGTAAATGCAAATACTTTATCACAATAATCCAGTTCCGTCTGAATATAATGGTAACACGGAACAACTCCTTTAATTTTGTGATTTGGACAAGAACTTGATAATGTGGTTTAACTGACCTTGTATAAGCAAACCATATAACATCTCTAAAAAGGAACATTAATCAGAAACTCTAACCAAATTTAGTGATAATTTTTGTTTTGTTTCTTAATGCTAACCTTGCCCCCCCTAAGGCTGTAGATACTAAAACAGGGGTCCTCAAACTTGTCCACTTTAAGACTTGTGGATGTCAACTCCCAGAATTCCCCAGCCAGCCATGCTGACTGAGGAATTCTGGGAGTTGAAGTTCATAAGTCTTAAAGTGGACAAGTTTGAGGACCCCTGTACTAAAGTTTTAGAGCTGACATCTGGTTCATTGGCAGAGTTTAGTAAGCGTTGCGTTGCCTTTTTTGCATCTACTATGTTGTTAAAAAAATCAAACTTTAAATTATTGTAGGTTTTTTTGTTCCTTTGTGCTTTTAGTATTATCTTTAAATTAAGTTGTACTTAATATACAAGGAATACCTTCCAATACATAATAGTCTGAATGGTCTAAAGTCAAGATTTTAAACGAACATGAAATCAGTGCATATCCTTGAAAAAAATAATACAATACACAATTGCTAGTTTACAACTTGTACCTTTTTTGTTGTTTTCAAGAAGAATGCAGGACCCAAAACCTAAGCAGTATAACATCCAGAATACGCATCTTCAAGATTGCAACACCAGGAAAAAAATGATATTTTGATGATAAATATATAGTCTTGCAGGAAAAGCAACTGTTATTCTTGTGGTATCTTTGTAACATATGCTTCTGTGGAATACAGTTAATTCTCAATAATGGGCTGAGAATGAGACACTGGGGCCAAACCATTATGAAATGCAGAAGTATATCCATAGTAGCACTGTGACATTTCTGTTTATATCCCAAATGCACCCATGATAAAAACATCTGACACCTCTTAAAACTGTTAAATTAGACTGGAACAGCTAGAAAGATAATGTTGTCAGAGTGATTACAGCTGCGAATGGGTTATTCTATTCTTATCTTGTAAGCACTGGGGATTACACATAGAAATGTCACAGCCTTACTGCTTGCATTTCACAGCCACACTGTTTACAGTGTTGTCAGGAACTAGATATACTTTTCTGCCAGAAAAGAATCATAAAGTTATGCCTTTAATAAAACTAGCCAGAAAGTGCTTACTTTTCTTATTTAAAAAGATGCCCATTACAGTAAGCTTTGTAAATATTTCTTCACTTAAATGATAGATAGACCTTGCTTAATGTCCACTCATTCAGTGACCATTTGAAGTTATGATGATGCTGAACAAGAAGGACCTACAACAATTATTTGTAATAGCAGCCCTCACAGTTTTTCCACAGTCACATAATTGTGATTTATGCACTTGGCAACCAGCTGGCAGTTGCAACATTGCGGTCCTGCCATGGTGTGATCGCCATTTGTGACCTTAACTGTCAGCTTCCAACAAGCAAAGTCAGTGGAGAAGGTGGCAGGAGATTGCAAATGGCGATAATTTGTGGATGCTGTGTTTGTGCAGAATTCACCTAAAAATGACAACCAGAATTGTAGTTGTAAGTTGGCACAGTCACGTAAAGTTTCACCTTACAATTGTATCAACGGCAGAGTCTCTGATCCCAATTACCGTTGGTAATCGAGAATTACCTGTAACCCAGAATTTGTTAAATTTCAGAGCTACTGTGAATTTTATTATTTGTTCTATAATGCCTTGTATCGATTTATTAATTTAACCCTGTTTATAACAATGTCTGATAGGACAACTCCTTTCTGCTCTTTATACATGTGTGTGAAGTAGCATTGGACTACTTTTGAAGGAAAACAATTGTGTGCATGGTTGATGTTGTTTTCCTTTTAACCTACAAGGGAACACTGGAGGGTTGCCACTGAGGGGGATGAAAATATCATGTATATGCATGGATTGTCACCAATATACCCAATTTAATGGTTTTCCAGTGCACATTTTATGGTAAATATAAAAATGTAAGATGTATCTATAATATAAACTTACAATTTAACCTTTTTAAATGAAAAGTACAATCTGTTCAAAAGTTAGTACAATGCCATCTGTTTAAGAATTCAGCAGATGAACTTCAATCTTATCCTTTTCCTAATGAAGACTTGACTTCAGTCAGCTTGGCTTTCAAAAAGAGATGATAATTTTTTTAAAAGATCAGCATCAGTGGTGAGCCATGACAGCTAAGGGGGATAGAAAAAGCATTTTGTTGAATATTAGTCGAGGCTAAAAACAAGCTATAGATGAACGGGATTCCTGTCGGGGGGGGGTTGGATATAGGAAATTGCTGACCTATTCATCCTTTTCTGATCTAGCACTCCCTCCCCTCCTTCAAAATATGATTGATTTCTGGCAATACCTGGAAAAGTCTATTTTCTTGGCTGGAATTTTTTGGATGTGGCTTATCAGTATCTGAGAGGGCTGAGAAGAAATGACTGACCAAACATACTTTAATGCTTTGTGCCTAAAGGGGGAGGGGGTGCAAGAATTCATGGTCTTCAAGCAGGCCATAATTGCAATGTGAAGATCAGTCATAAGTCACTTTTTTCAGCTACATCTCGTTCTGTTAGTCCTATAAGATAGACCAGACTAAAAATCTAAAACTACTTTCCTGGATCATGGATTGCATTTCCTTCGCGAAGGATTCTTGGCAAGAGATGGGCTGCACCTCACAAAAAACAGGGGAAAATGTACTTGGAAAAAGACTGGCCCAATTCATCAGGAGGGCTTTAAACTAAAATTGAGAGGGAAGGGTGACCAATCTTCAGAATCTCTAGAACCCAAAACCAATCATAAATCCCAAGAAAACAAATCAAACAATGAGGTGGGCAGAGATGGGAAAAAAACCCTCAAACAACATTCAGGAGGTGCAGGAAACATACTTATGCACAGGCACAAAAGCCTTAAATGCTTATATACAAATGCTCAAAGCTTGGGGAACAAACAGGGCGAACTAGAAGCAATAGTACACGAGGGTAGGTATGACATAGTTGATATTACAGAAACCTGGTGGGACGAAACCCATGAATGGAATGGACTGATGGATGGATACAAATTGTTCAAAAGAAACAGGTCTACAAAAAGAGGAGGGGGAGTTGCAGTATATGTAAGAGAACACTACATATCTACAGAAACACACATGATCAAAGATAAAATCTCTCCAGAATGCATATGAGTCAATATAAAAGAGAAAAACAGTGACATTACCAGAGGTGTATATTACAGACCACCCAACCAATCAGAAGAAATAGATGAACTCTTTGCCAGCCAGTTAACAAATGTATGTAGCAAGTATACCACAATAGTAATGGGAGACTTCAACTATCCATATATCAATTGGGAGACAAACTCTGCAGCGAGCGAGAGATCAAACAGATTCCTAACCAACCTAGCCGACAACTTTGTCATCCAAAAGGTGGAGGAGGGAACTAGACGTAAAGCCATACTTAATTCTAACTAATAGAGAATAAGTGATAGAGGAAGTTGAAGTTGCCAGAACCTTGAGCGAAAGTGATCATGTCATACTGGAATTTAATATAACACAAACACTAGCAACAGAAAACAATCCAAACAGTGTCTCGATCTTCAAAAGAGCTGACTTTAACAAACTCAGAGAGAACCTAGGAAAGATCCCAAGAATGAAAATCCTAAAGTGGAAAACAACCCTAGAAGCGTGGGAAACTCTCAAAAATGTGATCATAAAAGTCCAGACCAGCACAATACCACTGAAAAAGAAAAACAAGAAATTCAAGAAGAAACCAGCATCACTGCACAAAGATCTCTCTGATAAACTGAAAGACAAAAAGGACAAATACAAAAAATGGAAAGAGGGGCACATAACTAAGGCCGATTATCAGCAGACAGCCAGAACATGTAAAGATGAAGTCAGGAAAGCAAAGGCTCAGAATGAACAAAGACTTGCAACAGAAATCATGGATAATAAAGTTTCTTCCAACATATTAACAACAAGAAAATAGTCAAGGAAACTGTAGGTCCACTAAAGAGAGAAAATGGCAAGGAAATAACAGGCAACAGGGAGAAAGCAAAGCTGCTTAACTCATACTTTACATCAGTCTTCAAACAAAATGAAACCATAGCCCAACATACCAAAAAACCCACGCAAAAGATAAATTAGAAACAAAAATTAAAATAAGCAAGAAAATGGTAAGAGAACACCTATCCGACCTTGACGAATATAAATCACGGGCCTGACAGGTTGCATCCCAGAGTTCTGAAGGAGCTTGCAGATGTTATCTCAGAACCACTGCACCACATCTTTCAAAAATCCTGGAGTACAGGGGAAGAAGTACCTGAGGATTAGAAAAGAGCTGATGTGGTTCCCATCTTCAAGAAAGGGGAAAAAAACAGACCCAGGAAACTACAGACCAATCAGTTTAACATCAATACCTGGGAAGATCCTAGAAAAGATAAT